GCTTCTATTAGGGATGCGGCTTCTAATACAGATTTTACAGTAATAACTAATTTCCAGAATGACTGTGTTTTCTGTCATGCTGCTGTGCCCTTTTACTAAATGCTGTATTTTTAGGACTTGGTGTACAAGTGTTATAGAACAATTCAGCTGCAATTGTGTTTTATGTGAATCTTGCTATTTCCAAAATATTAAATACATTTTTGTAGTTGACATCATACATGAATAATTCTAATAACTGATACAATAAGTAATGGTGATTTATTTGAGATTTCACAGTGTTGTGATATTAATTTCATAACATTTAATCAAGTCTGTGTTTTATTCTTTTTTTTGTGAATTGTCACTCAAAAACACTGCCCAGTTGATAATGTTGAAATACTATTTTTTTAATACAAATTACTGTATATGTAATACTTTATGGTAAGTTTAAAACCATATTTTTGAATATTATTGAAGTAATCTGGACAGGGTTTATTATATGTTATATATATATCATTAAAATAATTTGAATGGTAACTCTCAAATATCAAAAAAAAATTAAAAGAAGTCTTTATGTATATGTATATATATATATATATATATATATATATATATATATATATATACTATATATACTATATATATATACATGTATATACTATATATTTATATACGTATGATGATACAAATTATACATATATTAATAAAAAAATTTGCATATCAAAGTAACATTACATAATTAAATAAATATTTAAAATATGTATCTCATTAATGTTCAATTTTGTTTTTCTTAAATTATTACATAAACAGTAATTTGTATACATGGCTAAAAAGTGAAAAAATCAAGTCTTTATATACATCTATGTAAGATACAAATTATATTTATTTTATTAACAAATCCTACATATCAAAATATTTCATAAATGAATTTCGTCATTCAAAAAAATTCAAATTCCTCCTTGCATTATTAGTATAAGGCACTTTGAAACTATTGTCATTTATTAGCAAATAGTTTGATGTTAAAAATTGATTTTTAAAGCAGGGGAGTTGTTACCTGCGCATGCAGCAAATGGCCATAACGTGTCGTTGTTTACAAACAAGCATCTACCCATGAGCCTTTGTGTTTTTAGTGTGCGTTATTATCGTTGCTTCGGACTCAATTCCTGTACATGCACTGGTGACAACCCCTCTGCTTTAAGTTATAATAAGGCCACTTTGAGTTGCTTCATTTTCACAATAGTGATTATTATTACCGGTAGAGATAAAGTCTGAATTACCTTTTTTTTAGCATATTCAAATTGTTCAACCCATGATGTGATAAATACAATCAGTATCTGAACTATGAATGATTGCAGCATTTTCACAGTTTCTATTTGTAGGTCAACAGATTATACATTTGTATTGACCAAAACATCAAATATTGTAATTGTAATTTGTGCCATATTTAATCTGCTTATACCAAATTATAACTGGGTTGAACAGTCATTTAAGTCACTTGGAATTGGAATTGGAAAGTAGAAAGCTCTTCTGAAAGGAAATGCAAGATACAAGTTTATCACCTCATTAAGTTCAGTTTATTACTTATTTATTTGTATATAAGTTTTGTCTGATGTATTGTCTGTAAATATTGTTTCACATAACAACCAAATATTGAGGTTAACAATGTATTTTTGTACGATTTAATTTAATTTTAATAATAATGATAAACATGTTCCCTTTGCTGAGACATTTACGGTATCTTCTTTCTCATTGATTCAGAATTTGCATAAACTGTGACATAACCAATATATGCACTGAAGATGCGTGTCTACACATGCATCATCCATAGCATCCAGAATAGATATGTATATACCAATGTGCATATAGTATATTTCTGTTGACATGTACCATTTATTTCTATAATTTTAACTCAGAATACAACATATCAAGAGATTATATGTAAAATATATAAAATTAAAATTATATTTGTATTGTTATCCGTCTGTGAAATAAAGCCTGCAATTGTGTTGTAAGCTTTTGTAGCATTATTTGTCCATATTTTATTAGCACCAGGTCGGGCACAGCCTTTAGGCTCATTGTTGGGTTGCAGCAGTTCTTCCATCATTCTGCCGCATTTTGTGGCGTTTTAAGAACTGTTTACTTCCCAAACTTGGTATGTAGTTGGTACATATTAAGTGCTCCCAATGACGCAAGTGAGTGACGGTCACATTCCACTCTTAAAAAGCCAAAATTGGGACAGAGGAAATGAATATAGAATATCAAGCTCTCTGCGGCACCCCGTCAGTTGTGGTCTATGGTCTGCTACAATAGTGCACAGTCAGCTGTGCAAATCCTACAAATTCCTACAAATCAGGACAAAAATACCAATCTTTCACAAAAATACGATCCGTTGGGGTTATATTAATCCAACCGATAACAAAATTCGGCCGAATTGCATACGAATACCCAATTATACGAAGAACCTAGAACACTTTGAAACCAAAAATAGTGAT